ATAGAAATTCTCGAAATTCACCCAAAACATTCTTTATTATCCGGCACAGTTTGGTATTGAAAATCATACGTTTTTTTTCCCAATTTTTAAGTAGTTTTCTCAGAAACTACCAAAGACATTTCGATGAATTTTGTTACACATTACTTTTTTTGTGCCAGGGATTAAGTATGTTCAAACTCATAACATTTGATCCAATATTTCCCATAGCCCCCATAAAAGGGGTATATTCCCGGAAATTAGTTCATCGTTAATAACTCCCTCAAAAATATCGGTATCAACACAAAATTTTGTACATACAAATATAATATGAATAGAAATCATACTATCAACGTAGATCTCAGTCGGTCCACAATTGGTCAGAGCTCCGCCTCCAAAAGTCACCTAAACTCACATATTTCATTGATAAATGAAGCTTTTGTGATATAATTCGAGATGAATATGTTCTGTGTACATACGAATCATTCTACCAAATTTTTTTTCGGATAGGATCATAATTGGTCATAACTCCCATATACGGTCCACTTCCGAAAATCACTTAAACGCATATGTTTCATTGATAAGTAAAGCTATCGGTATAAAGTTCAACTTGAATATGTTTTGTGTACATATAAATCATAATACGAAATTTTTCTGGAGAGGCCCGTAATTGGTCATAGCTCCTATTTAAAGTCCACTTCCAAAAATCAATTAAACGCACATATTTTATTAATTAATAAATCTATTGGAGTAATATTTGACTTGAATTTATTTTTTTGCATATAAATCATTATACGAAATTTTTTCTTGATCGGTCCATAATCATTTCCGAAAATTACTTAAACGCACATTGAAATCAAAGTCATCTGGATAAAATTCGACATAAATGTATATTTTGTATATATAAATCGTTATACGGAATTTTACTTCTGAAAATCACTTAATACCACTTAATTCATTATTAAATGATTATATCCAGATAAAATTCGACATGAGTATGTTTGTGTATAGATAAATCATTATATTAAAATGTTTGCAACTGGCCTATTAATATAAAATTTTATGAACCTAATCAAAATTAGTTCCAAATATGCATAAATGTTAGTACCCTCACTACGGAAACAAAAACGTTGTCAAGTTATCTAAAAATTAGATAGTTAAATGAGTTTTAATAAAAGTAGCCTGCCGGGGGGGGGGGGGGGGGTTATTTAAGATTCGGCATAGCCGAATATAGCACTCTAACTTGTTTGTATTTAATTAATATGGGAGGTGACACGCCTATTGCTAGTCCGCTAATTTTTTGTCCTAAATATTAATGTTGACACTAAAGTGGCTCCGAAAAATTGGATGATATACTAATTTAAGGTTTTCTTTATATATCTTGTCCGCCCATTTTGCCCCCATATGTTCATGTGGATATCAACGTTGTGCATACAAAATTTTAGAACTCTAGCTGTTGCAGTTTCTGAGATATGTGATTTTAAATGCTTATTATGTATGTGGGCGTGGCACTTTGCTCACATGAAATTTTTCCTTATTTGGGATCTATGCCCAATTATGGACCGATCTAAAATACATTTTGCAGAGTGATATATGTATACACAATACATATTTATGTTGAATATTATTTCAATATCTTTATTTCTAAATTAGTTATGTGCATTTAAGTAATTTTCTGAAGTTTACCTTACATGGGAGCTGTGACCAATTATGGTCCGAGCCGGAAAAATTTCGCAGGGTGTTTTATATCTACTTTAAACACATTCATGATGAATTTTATACCGATAATTTTATTCAGTTATGTAATATGTGCGATTATGTGGTTATCGGAAATGGGCCTTATATAGCTCCCATTATGGACCAATCCGAAAAATATTTTGCAGTGATATATGTATACACAAAACATATTTATGTTGAATATTATTCCAATATTATTTCTTAATTATTTATTTGAATTTAAGTATTTTTCGAAGTGGACCATATATGGGAGCTGTGACCAATAATCGACCACAGATCTACGCTGGTAATATGATTTCTGTTCATATTATATACATATGTGCAAAATTTCGTGGTGATACGATATTCTTGCCGAAGTTATTAACGATTAATCTATTTCCGAGAATATGTATCTTTGTATGGGGGCTATGACAAATTTTGAATCGATTGTTTTGAGTTTGAACATTTTTGATCCCTGGGTAAAGAAACTAACGTGTGACAAAATTCATTCCATTATCTTTAGTAGTTTTTGAGAAAACTACTCAAGAATTAGGAAAAACAAATTAGAGTGCTATATTCGGCTATGCCGAATCTTAAATACCCTCCACCAGCAAGCTACTTTTTATTAAAACTCATTTAACTATCTAATTTTTAGATAACTTGACAACGTTTTTGTTTCCGTAGTGAGGGTACTAACATTTATGCATATTTGGAACTAATTTTGATTAGGTTCATAAATTTTTATATGAATAGGTCAGTTGCAAACATTTTAATGTAATGATTTATCTATACACAAACATACTCATGTCGAATTTTATCTGGATATAATCATTTAATAATGAATTAAGTGGTATTAATTATAACGATTTATATATACAAAATATACATTTATGTCGAATTTTATACCGATGACTTTGATTTCAATGTGCGTTTAAGTAATTTTCGGAAATTATCCTTATATGGGAGTTGTGACCAATTATGGACCGATCAAGAACAAATTTCGTATAATGATTTATATGCAAAAAAATAAATTCAAGTTGAATATAACTCCAATAGATTTATTAATTAATAAAATATGTGCGTTTAATTGATTTTCGGAAGTGGACTTTATATAGGAGCTATGACCAATTACGGGCCTCTCCAGAAAAATTTCATATTATGATTTATATGTACACAAAACATATTCAAGTTGAACTTTATACCGATAGCTATATTTATCAATGAAACATATGCGTTTAAGTGATTTTCGGAAGTGGACCTTATATGGGAGTTATGACCAATTATGGTCCTATCCGAAAAATAATTCGTAGAGTAGTTCATATATAGACGAAGCATATTTGTGTCGAATTTTATCAAGTTAGCTTTATTTGACAATGAAATATGTGCGTTTAAGTGATTTTCGGAAGTGGGCCTTATAGGGGAGCTACGACTAATAATGGACCGATCCGAAAAGAAATTTAGTAGAATGATTTGTGTGTACACAAAACATATTCATCTCGAATTATATCACAAAAGCTTTATTTATCAATGAAATATGTGCGTTTAGGTGATTTCTGGAGGTGTACCTTATATGGGAGCTATGACCAATATATGGGAGCTATGACCAATTTGTTGGGTGCCAGATGAATATTTCTTGGTGTTATACACGGAACGACAAAGTTATATAAATATACCCTCTACCACCAATGATAGTGGTGGAGGGTATAAAAATCGTTTATTTGGGAAACTATTGGAGCTGGAATCTGTAAATAGGGGCCGTGGTACTTTCCATATGAATTAAATAAAAAATTCGCTTATCTGGGAAACTATTACATCTAGAATCCTCAAATTTAGCACGAAGAACTTTGACATTCATTTTAACATTTGGGTAATAAATTGGCGGACTAGCAGTATGGGAAGTAGCACTTCCCATATGAATTAAATACAAAAAATTCGTTTATCTAGAAACTATTAGAGGTAGAATCTTAAAATTAACATAAAAGTTGGAAGTAAAATGTGCGGACATTCATTTTGGGTTCTTAGAACCTTTCATATGAATTGAATACAAAAATTTTTATATCTGAGAAACTATTACAGCTAAAATCCTTAAATTTTGCGCTAACAACTCTGACATGTGAATATTTGAATCTAGAATCCTACAATTTTTCAGAAAGAATTTTCACATTCATGTGAACATGGGAGGTACCATACCCCTATTGTGGACTATCAAAAGGGGCTATGGTACCTCCCATATGGATTAAAATAAAAATTCGTATAACTGGGAAACTAACAGAACTAGAATCATCAAAAATCATAAAGTGCGGTTTTTATTTATACTGTTTTTAGGGTGGCAAAGCACACTGGGTATAGCAAGTATTAAAATATTTTAAAGTTTTCCAAAAATTTCGGTTAACCGGTTTTTTATACTCGGTTAACCGACAAACCGGTTTTCTAGAAATGGTAAATTTTCAGTAAACCGAAAAACCGGTTTTTATAAACACTACTCTCTGGTTACAAATTTCTAAGATACCTATAATTGCCTTAATTATTTTATCCTACAATTGTCATTCATATACACAACGAATTCATTATTACCTGAGTACAAATTTATTGTTATTGTTTCTTGCTTTATATGTCAATACATTTGGATGTATTTCTTACTAGCTATACCCAGTGTGCAATGTGTATAAAAACAATATGTATAAATAAAAACCCCACTTAACGATTTTGAAGATTCTAACTACAATAATTTCCCAGATTTATAATATGTTACACATGAGATATGTTGAACAAATTATTGCATGTATCGCCAATTTCTATCTATAAAAATTTGAATATTTGAATTTCCAAGAAAATGTTCTTCATGTAAAATTTGATTCTAGCTCTAATAGTTTCTCTGTTTCCTTGAAATATTTCCTCGAAAATGTCGGGTAAGAAAAAATAAAAACACAAAATTAGTTTTTATAATAATAAAAAATGGGGTTTTAATTTTGTTATTCACGGGGGTTTTTCTCGTACGTACCGTACTCCAAGGGTTTACAAAAGTAAGTGAACATTACAATTTTAAAGAAAGAGAGAAAAAGGGTAAAAAATGCCAAAGAATAAAAGACATAGAATGGCCAGTGAACAGTAACTGGCCATATACACTGTGCGCATAAACATCCAGCCCCCCTTGCTATACTGCAACAAGGAAGGCTAAGGATACTGCGGGGTAAAATGAGCTTAAAACAGAGTTAAATAAAAATGGGTAAAATTTTTTTCTTCAAAATAACAGTTCATTTATAATAAATTCATTGATAATAATAACAATAATAAAAAATGGAAAAACTTCAAACTATACGGCTAGACATAACATTTATGACAATAGTGGCTGGGGTTTGATGTTGCTGGCCGTATGGATAAGGTGGTTGCTGCTGATACGGCTGAAGCTGTTGTTGAGGGTAGTGCTGCTGTGCTGGTTGCACATAATGCTGGGGTTGTTGTTGTTGATACTGCTGCTGTTGTGGTTGCACATAATGCTGGGGTTGTTCTTGTAGGGGTAGTGAGCAGCAATGATGTTGTTGTGGCTGTGTGGCGACCTTTTTTGGTGTTCCCCTCTTCTTATTTTTATTTCTCCTTCTTTTGGTGGAGTTTTGATCCTTGGGACTGCCGCTGGTGTGGGTTTGTTGTTGGGCTGCGGGTTTGTGCCCCTTTTTTACCTTATGACGGTGGAGGAGGGTATGGTGCTCTGACATGCACTCGATGCACCGCTCTCTGCTGGTGCATTTGTCTTTCATGTGGGAGTGAGCCAGGCAGTTGAAACAATAGCGATACTTCTTCACCGTTTCCCATCGCTCCCCCACCGACATCTTGCGGAATTTGGGGCATTTACGCAGGGCATGCTCGCTTTTGCATAAGCGACAGTCCCGAAGGATCTCGTCTCGGGTTGTTTTTATGTCCTTAGACATTTTCTGACTTTGGCAAGAGAACAAGCTTCACTATTGGGCGGGTAAAAATGCCCGAAGCTGTTCTCACGTCCGCAGTGCGGACCTTGCTGTCATGGCCTACATGGGTCTTCTCTATCCTGCCTAAACGCCATTCATTCCGGGGTAAATTATCCTGACGGATCACAACTAAATCGCCGACTTTGTAGTCCCTTTGCGGATATTTCCATTTAATTCGCCGATGGAGTTCTTTGAGGTATTCCTCTTTCCATCTTTGAGCAAACTGATGATGGAGCACTTTCAGTTTTTGCCATCTATTGGCAATATTCAATGAAAGATCGGAATGATATGGTTCAGGGGGTGCCAAAAGAGGTGCTCCTATCAGAAAATGACCTGGGGTTAAAGGGACTAAATCGAAGGGATCATCGCTCACTGCAGTTAAGGGTCTTGAGTTTAGGCAAGCCTCTATTCGGGTTAACATTGTCAAAAACTCCTCAAAGTTAAATTTCTGCATTCCAGCAATTTTGCGAAAATGAGTTTTTACACTCTTTACGCCGGCTTCCCATAAGCCGCCCATATGAGAAGCACCAGGGGGTATAAAATGCCATTCAACTGGCTGAAAACTATTTCGTACAAGTACTTTTTCTCTTAATTAGGGTAAAAACTGCTTTCGGTCTACTTCGAGTAAATTAACAGCACCGACAAATGCAGTTCCGTTGTCTGAGTATATGTGGGCAGGACAACCTCGACGGGAGAAAAAACGGGCAAAAGCACCAAGAAATGTTTCGGTCGACATATCACCGGTTGCCTCTAACCTTTCGTTGTTCGGCAACCTATACCAATGTAGGATTTTATGTCGAACGGACCTGCGAAATCTAAACCGGTATGGGTAAACGGTCTCGTAAGAGAAGCACGTTCAGGGGGTAAAGCAGCCATAATCTGCTGACCGGTTTTCTTTCGATATATCGTACATTCCTTGCAATTGTAAATAATTGTACGAATTAGATTTTTTAACTTGGGGACCCAAAACTCATTTCTAACTAATCTGAGCATTAAAGAATGGCCACCATTTGTGAACATGTTCAACAAACAATCGGGTAAAACGGGCTGCATAAGGCAGAATTTTAGGGTAACGCTCATCGTACGTTAAGCCAGGGGATCGAGTTAGTTGACCATTGATTCGGACAAATCCATTTGAATCAATAAACGAGTTCAAAGTGAGTAAATTACTCTTTGAAGAAATGGGTTTACCTTTCGAGAGTAGAGAGTATTCGAGAATATAATTCTTTTGACATACTAGAACCAAACGATGTCGAGTAAATTTCATTTCTGATTGGGTTGAATCTAAGGTGTTATACAAACATTTTCTGGTTTTAAAATATTGTAAACACCTGAACCAATACGAAATAATTCGCATTGCACGGGGTAAATCTGAGAAACGTTCCAGTATGTCAAAAGTTGGTTCTGTCTGAACAGAAAAAGATTGAACTTCTAAATGCTTATGTTCGGTAACGATATTTTGTGGCCAGTACTTTCGCGGCTGTCTTAACCACGAGGGACCATACCACCATAGGGGTTATCTCGAGCAAGAGTTCCACGACTTGATCTGCAGGGTTATCTTTGGAACCAATTCTCGTTAACAACTTTCTTTACGATTAGGGCAACTCTGTTTTTGACAAAGGTTGGCCAATGGCACGGGGGTTTTTTGAGCCAAGATAAAACTATAGTAGAATCAGTTCACAGATTAATCTTTCTCTTGTCTAGATTTAATTGACTACACAAGGATTCTACCATATTCGCCATCAAAGCCGCTCCACAAAGTTCTAAACATGGTAATGTTTCAGACTTAACAGGAGCTACCTTCGTCTTTGCAGAGAGTAAATGTGAAGCGATTTCATTCGAAGAAATACTTCGAACGTAAAGAGCAGCAGTCCATTTTCTCAAAACGAAACCAGCCGATTCAAGAACATGGGTAAGTTCAATACGTCTCCTAAAAGCGTCTTCAAGCTCATGAGAGCCAGCAAGTACGTCGTCGGCATACATTTGGGTTTTCAAAATTTCAGATGCTAACGGACTTAGAGGTTCGCAATCGTTGGCCAATTGTAAAAGAGTTCGAATCGCTAAATACGGCGCACAATTCACTCCGAATGTGACGGAACAAGACCCGTTGAAATTGTGCCTGTTCGGGATGAATTAAAATTTGGCGATACATTTTCTCAATGTCACCGTTAAAAACGTAACGAAAGAGTCGAACCCATCCTCCAAAGGCTTACGCCATTGGAGGATGGGTTCGAGGTATTAAATACCACACGAAGTTTAGTGGTCACACTATCGGGTTTAAATATTGCATGATGCGGTAAATAATAATTAGTCGCATATGAACTCGGGGGGTTAGTTGCTCTGATATGTCCCATTTCGAAATACTCTCTAATTACAGTATCATACTTTAATTTTAAATCGGGGTTTTTCAAAAGTCGAGTTTCATTTCGCCTAAACTGGGACAGAGCACTATGTCGAGAATTTCCTAATGTCACTTCATTAAGTAATTCCCGACGAAAGGGGAGTGAAACTACATAGCGACCATCGGGGTTCCTATAGGTAGTAGTCCGGTAAAGTTCTTCACAATATTCCTCAGTTTCCGACAACCGTGTCGCTTGTGGAACTTCTTCAAGTTCCCAAAACCGAGCAAGTTGAGCGTTCAGCTCCACTTGATTCCAAAACGATGCAATGGTATAAGGGGGTTCAGATTGAAAAACTTCACCAGTTACTATCCAACTAAAAACTGTTCTCTGGGCGATCAGGTTGCCATTCGGATGCTTTCTAACATCCGAAGTTAAAATTTTTGGATAAACATTTCCTCCTAATAGAATATCCATACGGGTACACATGACGTCGGTCATGGTAATATCGGGAAAACTAGAGCTTACAATATCTGTAAGGGAACACGAGGGCAACCGACCGGTAATCTTCTCGACTACATATGCACAAATTTTCAATTTGAAACTCTGGAGAACCACATAGTCGCGGAATTTCCAGCCAAGCAATCCATCATACCAGTAACATTTATCGATGGAACCGAAAATGTTGTAATCTCCTAGAGATAAAGGTACCTTGCGAACCAGGGTCAACTAACGCTCTTGCTGTACATCTGAGATGGTCAAAATGGACTATACAAATAGCCGAGCCCAAAAGGAATGTGGAATGGGGGTTAGGGCTCAGATGTGCAGCATACGTATGAACGTTTTGAGTCGCTGCAGAAGTTGAAGGGGGAAAATTGAGAAGGTGTTGATTTTGATTGCTTGCTGGAACCGGGTTTATATTATGCTGGGTTTGGTTAGATAAGGTTTGAATATGCAGGGGTTGAATTGGTACATTTGTACCAGAAGCTATAGGGAGCTGGGGTGAAATTTGCGAACCTTGACCTTGCGACCTAAGATCTCTATGAAGCAAAGAGTGATGCTTCTGTCTACACAACGAACAAACATGAGTACTTCTATAGTTCTTAAAATCGTGAGAAGTCGCCAAACAATTTGAACAACACCTAAGTCTCTTGACAGTTGACAGCCTATCATCTACACTCTGACTCAAGAAGTTAGGACAAAGTCTTAGGTGGTGTGGTCCTTGGCAAAGGAAACAACGACAAACTGTGGGACTCGGGGTAGTGTTTGTCGCAAGACTTTGAACTCTTCTAGAGTCATTAAATGATTTCTTTGCGGGGTTAAAACTCGAGTTCTTTTTCGACACAGTATTCTGGGGTTTGTTTTGAACGGGGTTGGACTGTCGAATATCAGAAATAGACTCAAGAGTTTTGAAATGAGCTGTCAAAAAAGCTACCATATCTTCCCACTTTGGAGATTTTGGACAAAGTTTCTTGGACTGTTCCCAGAGACTTAAAGTATTCTCGGGTAGCTTTGTAGCACAAATATACACTAATACAATCATTAAACGTTCGTTGCAGATTTTTAATATTCGGGCCTGTTTCTTGTTTAATACTCAAAAGAGTACGAAGCTGTTCATTTATGAGAGCGTCTTTGTTCTCATATGTGTCAACTAACTTTTTCCATGCCACTGCATAGCCATCGTTAGTCAATGGAACAGTTTGTATGACATCATGAGCATCTTTTGTAGTTTTCTGCAATAAATAGTACAATTTCTGTATTGGGGTCAAACGGGGGTTATTGCCATACAACGCAGAGAACATGTCTCGGAATGAAGGCCAGTTCTTATAGTCACCATAGAAAATTGGGGTGTCACAAGGGGTAAATGAACGAGTGGTATTGAACTTGCTCCATGATCATTGGACTTTTCTGCCTGAGCAGCGGATTTTAAATTGTCCAAATGGGTCGTGATCAAGGAGATACCACTAGTGTAGGTACTATAAGAAGCCATATACCTGGACTTCACTTCAACGATTTGTGGGGTTTTCAATTGTTCAGCTTCGATAAACAAAGTATCGTATGCTGAACGAACAGCTTCCCATAAACGGGTTAATTCCTTTTCATGGCTACTTAACGAACCAATTCGATGTTCGCCAACAGGAATTATTGAAATATAAGCCTCGAATTCGGCTAAACGATCTGCATTATGAATTAATGTGGACATGTCCATTTTAGATCTTAATAAATACCGGGTAATTTTGGCAAAAAGCAAGAAAAATTAGGGGGAAATTAAAAAATATTCAATAAATAGAGTAGACTTGCTCAATAAAATTAAAAAATAAACAATCTAATCTTCAAAATTAATTTAAAAGATTGAATTTTATCACGTATCAAGGATTTAAGGATCAGAATAAAATCGAAATCGACAAAAAACGAGTAAAAAATTTCAAAAAAGTCAAAAAACTTCTCAAAATAGGGATAAATTTCAATAAATATTTGGATAAATTGGTATTTACGACGTAAATTCCACGAAAAACGGGTTAAAAG